TGTCAACTCTGCTCACAGCAGGTGCTGGACCAGTGCTTTCCATGCCGAGGCCTGGTTTGTTCTTTGTCCACTGTCACACGGGTTTGTGGGACCAGTGCGCTTTCCACGCCTTTGGGGCCTGGTGTGTTTGTCACCTGTCCACACGGGGTGGACCAGCTGCCTTTCCACGCCTGGTGGCCCTGGTGCTGTTTTGTCACAGCTGTCACGACTGGTGTGGACCAGTGCTTTGCCGCATCAGGGCCGGTGTTTGTTCACCTGCACACGGTGTGGACCAGTGCTTCCACGCCTGGGCCTGGTGTGTTTGTCACCTGTCACACGGTGTAGACCAGTGCTTTCCGCATTCAGGGCCTGGTGTGTTTGTCACCTGTCACACGGTGTGGACCAGTGCTTTCCACGCCTGGGGCCTGGTGTGTTTGTCACCTGTCACACGGTGTAGACCAGTGCTTTCCACGCCCAGGGCCTGGTGTGTTTGTCACCTGGTTGCTTTTATTTTTCTTAATTCGAGACAGGGCCCTCACTCTGTTGCCCAGGCTGGAGTGCAGAGGTGCATATTCACAGCTCACAGCAGCCTCCAACTCCTGGGCTCGAGCCATCCTCTCACCTCAGCCTCCCGAGTAGCTGGGACTACAGGCACCACCACGCCTGGCTTCACCCGCCTTCTTAAGCATTTTTGCTGAGGCAGAGTAGCATTTCCCAGATGTCATGTGTCCCTGAACCCTCTGGGGTTTCCATGTCTGACTCAGACACAGTCCGTCTGGGTAGGGCCGGGGGCTCTGCATCTCGCACAGCACCCAGTGAGCACAGACAGCTTGGCCTCAAAGCCTGGGGGTGGCTAGGTCAGCCTGGGGACCCAGCTCACCACCGAGCTTTGTAAGTTTGTATTGAAACACAGTAAATCAAGTTTATTTACTTACCGTCTATGGCTTTTGTGCTCCAAGAGTGGTGCTGAGGAGCTGCCGCACCGTGGCCTGTGAACTGAATGTGTCATCGCCTGGCGGTTCCCAGGAAAGGCTTTGCCACCTCCCGTGCCGAGCGTCCCCTGTCTCAGCCCTGCCCCACTTCTTTCCCCACTTCCTTCCCCCTCCATCCTGCTTTCCATGGTGAGAGGGATCCCAGCTCTCTCGGGTTGCAAATGCGCCCCCTCCCGGGCCCTCGTGTGATGTCCATGCACTTGTGTCCCACAGGTGGAGCACCTGCAGCAGGAGACCGCCACGCTGAAAAAGCAGACGCAGAAAGTAAAGGAGCAGTTCATTCAGCAGAAGGTAAAAACGTGTCGTTGGTTTCTTTGTGTAAAACAATTGCACGAGCAAAGTCCTGGCGGTTTGATCGCCTCAGTAGGATGGAACTGACTGAGGCGTTGGTGTCGGACTCCTCAATCTTTTCAGAGGCACTTCACTCATTCCAGATGTCCTCCCTGCCTGGTTTTATTGTGCTTCCACGCAGGGTGGGCGTCTGACCCATAGGTCGCAAGTGGCAGCTGTCACCGCCACGCCTGTCGGGGAACCCTGTTGTCGCCCCTCCAGAGAATTGTGTATGTTTTGCACTATTGTCACTACACAGGTTGTGTTTGCTGTTTAAAATGTCTTTGAAAAATTTACACCATGTTCCAGGATCGAAACAAATCCTGGTGTCACCAGGAGTGTAAATCTTGTCAGGGAGGCTCGTGCCTCTGGCTGGAGGAATGATTCTGATCCACACTTCTTTGCAAAGCAGCAGTCAGGGCCTTGTGGGATCAGAGAGAGGAAACCCCAAAGCAGTGTTGTGAGCGGTGTTCTGTTTTATTGCTGGGGTGCAAGCGAGGGGATGACTGGTCGGAAGCCAAGCAGTGTGGCCAAAGGGCAAAGGAGCTGCCAGACTGTTCAGGACAGAGATGTCTAGGAGGCCAGGGGCCTGCTCCCAGCCTCACACAGACTCGGTGCAAGCACGGCAGTGTCGCTTGGTGGATAACACAGGTGTATCTGAGGGAGTGGCAAAGTATGTTATCTTTAGGTCAAAAAAGTTGTGCCCTGGATATGTGGTGAACACTGTCTGCAGCAGCCTGGCCCTGGGAAGCCCCTCTGAGTGCCTGGGGCCCTGTCTCGCGGCAGGTGATGGTGGAGGCCTACCGGCGGGACGCCGCCTCCAGAGACCGGCTGGTCAGCGAGCTCAAAACCGCGAAGAAGGGGCTGGACACAGAGGTGAAGGGGCTGAGGCAGGAGCTGATGAAGCTGCAGGGGGAGAAGAGGGCCACGGAGGCGGAGCACTCGCGCCTGCAGAAGGAGGTGTCCGAGGTCCACCGGCAGATGGCGGATCTCGAAGGGCATCTCCAGTCCGTGCGGAAGGAGCGGGACGAGATGGAGGCGCAGTTGCAGGTCTGCTGGACACGCCGAATCGTGACGTGTGTGGGTGGGGTGGGGGCACGTCAGGGAGAGGCCCCCTTGGAGCCAGCATCCTGGTGGGACAGACGGGGAGTGTCTGCAGAGCCCCCGCCAGGGTGCACTGAGCCCCCTGTGGCTGGAGTGTGGAGCTGGGTTGTGGGTGCGCACCGGGGCTGGGTGTGCAAAGGCCCGCAAAGGCCTGCCCTGCCTCGGTGGGCAGCCGGGAGGTGAGAGGTGTGGGGATGGGGCGGAGGCCACAGTCAGGTCTGTGTCCAGATGTCCAGGATGTCCAGGCATCTCTTCCTGAGGTGAGACGTCAGGGGAGAGCCCTGGATTCAGGGCAGGGGTGGGCAAGATGTGAGACCATGCACACAAGAGGACCAGGCTGAGGCCACCCGGGCCGGCTGGCTGAGGCATCGCACCCTGGGAGGAGCCCTGCTGTGGCCTGCAAGTAGACAGCGCTGAGTGGGGGCGGGGGCCAGGGGCTTGGAGGGGGATGCCATCAGTGCCGGACAGCAAGGGGGGAGGGGGGGCCTGGCGGAGTCCGGGGGTGATGAGGCAGGCCCTGGCGTGGGCGAGCACATCCACACCCGCCACCCCGCAGTTGCCTGTTGCTGCGGCTGAGCTGGTCTGGGAGACTCTGCCACACAGGAGGGGAGCAGAGGCGGCGAGGTTGGGGGTTTCTAGGGCTCCAGGAGGCCCACAGGGCGGAGGCTTCCTGTCGCCCGCTGCCTCCCTGTTGTGCCTCAGTGCTCTGCACACGGCATCTGGAAACACTTTTTTATTTTTTTGAGACAGAGTCTCACTCTATTGCCCCAGGTTAGAGTGCAGTGGCGTCATCACAGCTCACAGCAGCTCCCAGCTCCTGGGCTCAAACCATCCTCCTGCCTCAGCCTCCTGAGTAGCTGGGGCTACAGGCATATGCCACCATGCCCGGCTCATATTTTCTATTTTTAGTAGAGACTGGGTCTCACTCTTGCTTAGGCTGGTCTCAAACTCCTGAGCTGAAGCTATCCTCCTGCCTCAGTCCCCCAGAGTGCTGGGATTACAGGTGTGAGCCACCGCACCCAGCCTTGAAAGACTTTTGACCTCTGTGGAGTATCGTTTCTGAAGAGACAAATGTCCCTGTCAGGGTTTTCTTCAAGGCCTGGGTCCTTGAGGGCGGCCCTCAACGGCACCATGGGCCCTGAGGGGTCAGGCGAGGGTGGGCGGCTCTGTGCCTTGTACTGCGTTTCTCACGCTGTCTTCCCTCCTGTAGTCTTTGCAGTTCGAGGAGGGGCAGGTGGCCACCCTTACGGAGGCCAACGAGGTGCTCAAGAAACAAATCGAGGAGCTGCAGCAAGAAGCCAGGAAGTAAGTCTGCACCTGCCTGGGATAGTGGCATGAGCCCCCACCATGGGCGTGCATGGGCGGGCCTGGACACCCTTGCTGAGAAGCAGCTTGGGGCCCACGTAAAGGCGGCCTGGAGTGTTATGTTCTACATTTAAAGTTCCAGCTAGGCATGGTGATGTGCACCTATAGTCCCGGCTACTCGGGAGGCTGAAGCAGGAGGATGGCTTGAGCCCAGGAGTTGGAGGCTGCAGTGAGCTATGACTGCACCACTGCACTCCAGTCCAGGTGACAGAGCGAGACCCAGTCTCTTAATTAGAAAAAAAAAAAAAAAAAGGAAAGTTCCATTGTGATTTGGCAGTTGCCCATTCTATAAAATAATCCCAGATTATTGACTCGCTAAAGCATCCTGTAACCAAAGCTCCCCTTTTGTTTCTATCCATTTGACTTTTTGTGCCACACACTTGTGGCAGCCCCCTCCCCAAACCCACCCCCTCAGCAGGGACTACACTTATTCATCCTCATACCCTTTATAGTCACACAAATGTGAACACACAGACCTAACCCGCATATACCTACATACATGTATGTGCATGTACATATGTGTGTAGGCACCTGTGTACGTGTATGTGCACGTACATGTGTGTGCAGACAGCTTTTGGGGGCCTTTTTACCCCGACGGCATATCCTCTGCTGGTTTGCTTTGATTGGCTGGTGATTTACTCGTAGCTCTGACTGTTGGATTTCATGCCGATATTCAGGAACATTGGAAGCATCTCTGTTTGGGGGAGCAGACTGTGTCTCTGCCCTCACAACATCATTTTCGAATTGCCCCGAGAGGAGGGCAGGTCTGCGGGGGGTGGTGGGAATGGCTGAAAGTCACGCGTGCGTGCCGTCTGCCTGCCTCTGTGGGGACGCCCGGCGTGGCCTCTCCCCCTCCCTCCACAGCCACAGCAGGACAGGCACAAGCCAGAGGGGCGGCTGAAGCGCTCCTGTAGGGAAAGGCAGTCTATAAACGTTTTCCCCTCCAAGACCCATCACGAGGGTTAGACAAAGTACAGTAGCTATACTATTAAAATACTGCTCAGTAGTCCGTGTGTGCCAGGGTCCTGTAATGATTGCGTGTATCATCTCGTGCAAATCCTCAGACACCATGCAGTCTGTGGAGGCACTTTTTTCATCGGAGGACCTCCATGGCTTAGAGAAATCGGCCACTCGCTGAGAGGCAGAGACAGACGCACGCTTGGCCACCTGCCCTCCGCCTTTCTGCGCACCTCACGTCTCAGGAGTTGACGTGCCAGAGGGGAGAGCAGCGAGCAGGCGCCCACTGGGGCTGGAGTGGGTGCGGGGCGGGGTCGGTGCTTAGATCCAGGACGCTGGGCATCAGCACCTGCAGTGGCCCAGACAGAGGGTGCCTGCGGCAGGGCGCCGTGCAGGCTGTGACAGCCGGGGGCTGGATGGTGCCGCCTCTTTTCTTTCAGTTTTGCTAGTAGGTGTGAAATTCTGCCCGAGTGAATTTGTTTGGATTTTATTTATGATGTGTCATTACACTGACATCTGAGTGGTTTTTTTTTTTTTTTTTTTTTTTT